GATTGGCTACAATGATTAATTTAAATGTTTTAGGGTAATTTTAAGAATTTATTAATGATTAATAAACGTTTCAGGGTAATTTTAAGAGTTTATTAATGATTAATAAAGATTTGAGTATTTATTGAATAGTTCGAACATGAATCTATTGACGAGTATAGCTTAAACTTTTACATTCAATATTGGTATGAATTAAAATACTTTTATAAAATTATAAAACTAATAAGAAAAAGAGACAGTTGTATATAATAACTAATAAGTATTTCCAATTTCAAGATTCAATTAAATTTTTTAATTCCTTCTTACATGTCCACACAACAAATAAATCATTCTCTAATTTTCAAATCTTTAAAAAATGTATACAAAATAAATCACTTTCTAATATTTAATCCTATCTTTAATCATTATAAATGTATAATGAATTAACTCTATTTTATTATGTACTGAAAAATTCAATTAATGATCAAATAGATTTACAAAACTGAAAAACATAATACACAATTACACAAAGTCACAAAATAATACAATGTTTAACAAATAAAACACAATAAAATCGCTCAAGGCCCTTCCGTTAATCAAATACATAGTACATTTTTTAACGAAGTATACAATCTTTCTCTATACAAAAGCAGGAGAAACCAGGTCTCTTTTCCCGCCCAAAACCTTGCTGAATACCGGGTCGGGTCATTTTGTGCGGGTTATTTAATGGGTTTGGTATAACATACTGTGTTACAGTCTGTCTACTCACATGTACTTCGAATTGATTTCGTTTGAGGCTCAATGGATGCATTTAATGCTCTGTGATTCAATAAGATACGTTTGGTGGCTCAAGAAAGAGGATCTATTGCAATGTATAGAGATATCTTCGAGAACTCTGCTTGCAATTGTACTGTTTAATATTTTTATAGTCTACAACACAGCTACTGAGATTTCAACCAAGAGTTTAAAATAAGTTTGTTGCATACATTAATAAAGCATTAAATGCTTAGTACGAAAATATCTTCTAAGAGATTGAGATTAGTTCTTAGAGCATTAAATGCTGAGTATGAAAATATGTTCAGCAAGATTGAGTTGAGGTTAATACACAATGGACAAAGCAGACTCAACTGAGAGAGCTTCCCTTACCTTACTATATAAAGACCTAAGACTTGAATCAATCAGCACAGCAACCCAAATCGCATTACTACTAAATCTATCGTACTATACAATGACTGAGGCAAATGAAAACGCAGGCATGTGGTCACTACTTGATGCTGTTGATCATACTAGAAACACTTGGGCAGTCAAAGTCAGAGTGATAAGGGCGTATGAGGTTCCTATCCATGCTAAAGGGGACGAGACTCTTGAATTGGTTCTTCATGATGCAGTGGTAAACCGTGTGACTGAATTCTTGGATTTTCATTATTTGGCAGTGTTATATTCTTGAACTTGAATCTATGTTTCCTTTTTGTATAGGGAACTCGGATTCATGCTACTGTCAAGAGACCTCATCTGGGTTTTTTCAAGTCTAAAATCAAAGAAAATGGAGTGTATAGCATCAGAAAGTTTTTGGTGGTTGATAACTACCAAACTTTCAAAACAACCAATCATCCATACCTCATTCAATTTATTAGCAAAACCCAAGTTAAGAATGAAGTCATAGACTTTCCATCCCATGTGTTTGATTTTCAACCTTTTGAGATGCTGCAAGCTCAAAGGATCATCAATGACAAAATACTAATTGGTACAAATCTGTATTCAAAACCAATATTTCTACTGTTTCCATGATTAATATATTTTTAGTAAAAATATTTTTCGATGTAAATCAAATACTCTTTTCAGACGTCATTGGAAAGTTTTTGGGCAAACTACCTGCCCAAACACATATCATTAATGGGAGAACAGAAAGGTTCTTGGAGTTAACATTGGGGGATGGAGAGTAAGTAGTTGTCGTTTTATTATGTTTTTGGATTTTATTAGCCTTAATAAATAAAACAAATGATTCAAACCAATAAAGTAATTCATGTGAGTGAAATATGCAGAGGTAATCGGATTGGATGTGTGTTATGGAACAAATACATTGACCAATTCAGTGACTATGTGAATCAAAACGGGGTAGATAACCTCTTCATAATATTCCAACTATGTCGACCTAAAAGATATCAAGGTTAGACATAAATCTTTTAAATGAAGGTGTTTAATAAAATATTTGTAATTTTTTTAACGCGTTGTTGAAATCACAGGAACCGTCTCTGTATCTTCGTCCTACGACGTTTCCAAGCTAATCTTAAATGGTAACACCACAAAGATGGTTGAGTTCAGAAATCAGTAAGTGTTTTATAAATTATTTCTGTTTAATGGTGCCTTGCTCGGAGTGTTATTGACTTTTCGTATTTACCATCTAGGTTTCCACCAGACAATGAAGACAATGCTACCGTCACAAATTTCACCCAAAATTCTATTGGTGAAGGAAGCAGGGATGATGCCTTAAGTGGTAGGGTAAAGTTAACAACAATGAATGACCTTATGAGTGAAACCGAGGTGGTTCTTTGACTCTATTTGAAATGTTAAACATGTTTACTTTATAATAATAATGATTTACATAACTAATTTCTTTATGTAAACAAATTGTGTAGGATGGTATTTACTGGGTGCTAGGAGAAATTGTTTCTATTGAAAACTTTAGGGAATGGTGTTACTTGAGCTGTAACACATGTAACAGGAAGTTGAAACAAGAGGATAATAGATTCATGTGTGCAACATGCAACATTATTGTTGCCGAGGGAGTGTACAGGTGATATAGTTACATAAATATGTGTCTATCTATATATATAAAAAATAATGGTTACTAGCTACAAAAAACGATTGTTTACAGACAACTATATATATATATATATATATATATATATATATATATATATATATATATATATATGTATTGATTGAATATGTAATATTGTCTAAAACATCTAGGTACAAAGTTAGTGTTGGGATAATGGATGACACTGCCCATGGGGCCTTCATGTTGTGGGATAGAGAATGCACGGATATTTTTGGAAAGACTTTAGCAACATTACGCAGCGAGGTGGGAAAGGTACTAAACAAAGTCTTATATTACAATGGCACGTTGAAAAAACTAATTGGGTGAATTGATGAGAGCCTAATTTTGTTTTATACAATTGCAGAAAACAGGAGACCCAACGAGATTCCCTGAAGAGATTGAAAGCTTGGTTGACCAAAAGGGGTTGTTTAAAATCAGTCTTAAAAAAGGGCAGAAGAAAATTCCTATGGAAGAACACTATCTTTAGGGGTGGTTTGTATGATTCGAGACCATCTATTCTGGCTTTGTATGAAGACAAAGAGTAGGAACAACTTAGTAAAGATGATCTAGACCAGGAAAAGGTTTGAAATACATACATTTCAATTCTAATAATACAAGAATAATATTTTAAGAATACTTATGATGTTTATACAACTGATACAGAGTGGTTCTTCTGGAACGGTGTTGTGGTTAAGAACCTTTACGTATCGATTGATCCGTACCAACTAAACCGGATGAAGTCCCAAAGCTCCTCACAGCGGGCCATTGATTTCTCAGCCTCCATTGCTCCTGGTGTGGTAAGTTTTGATCCTTCCTGGCATATATTCACCACCATTTCGCATTGAAGTCTTATTTAAAAACCAGTGCTTTCAACACCACCTGTATAAAACAGTTCTTGCACTTTGACCAATTAGCTATCTAAGCGCTCAAAAAAGACGGTGATTTGAAATCTTCCCAACTTTTATTTTCAAAGTTCAAACTTATAAGCATGCTCTCGGAGCACGTAAATCAAGTTTTCAGAACACAATAATGTTTTCCAAGTTGCAAAACATTTTCTCAAATGGCTTATGAAATGCCCTCTTAATTAACCAGCTAATAAATACCAAAGTTTGTCCATCAATTTTCAGAGCATTGATGCATATGGAGTGGGAAAAGTTATGGTTTCTAGCAGGGATGATATCAAGAAGGATGACTTGGTTGCAGGGCTTCTTAGTTGGGAAGAATACAATTATGTAAAAGATAGCTCTCTGTTGAATAAGTTGGATCCGGTTAGCTTTCCATTATCTTACCATGTTGGAATTTTAGGTACCACTTGCATCATCCTCTTTGTCCTCTTAGTTATAATGCGCATAGGTTAAATCATACTAAAAAATATTCAATCAAGGTGGAGGTGCCCTTGCATCAAGGGTATTACAATTAGGCTCTCCATGACTCCGTCCCAAATAAAGTCATATGAAAAGTCTGTTTCTCCTGAAAACATTCATTTTGGAATGAAAGAAGTTATTTTTCATTATATTAGATGTATTTTAAAATGAAACAGAAGTGTACAGTTAGATTTAGTGAAGCCAACAAATAACTTTACTAGTTTTTAAAAAATGGATCTTTGTGATCAATTTTTTATGTGACAAATGTGGTGACTCTTTTTTAGCTAGTTCAAAGTAAGGGAAAATCATTATTTTGTGTTCTGGATCAATTTAGTTTCTGCAATGTAGTAGTAGTAGGGTACTACACCCTCCGTTTTAAAGAGTCATATTCACCACGGTACAACTTTTATTAAACTCTGGCAAGATTTAACCCTTACAAATCTTGGAATGTATTAGTATTTTTTAGATATACTTTTTTGTCTTGATTAGATGTTGCCCTATTGCACTTGTTCTAGGCTTCTAGCTTTAGAGTATGTTGGCAAGTTACATGAAAAATTGATTCCATTTCCTGAAATGGGACTCCTCTTTAGGTAAAAAATGCTTTTAAAACTTGTTTCTTATAAAAAAAACTTACAAGCATCTCAAACTCCGGCAAAAAGGAAACAAATATGACAGTTTGAGTAAAAAAGCATTAATGTCGAATACATAAAAAGGTCATACAAATTTGTACAAATCAGGAGAAGAAAGCTTTCTATATTGTGGTTCGCCTAATTTGTAAAATTACTGCAGGGTTTAGTGGACTTGTAGCCTATGGTGGATTTTTCGATGTTTGCAAACCTCAGAAAGGGGAGAAGGTTTTTGTTTCTGCTGCTTCAGGATCAGTTGGGAATTTAGTTGGACAGTACGCTAAACTATGTGGATGTTATGTCGTTGGCTCTGCTGGCTCCCAACAAAAGGTCATCCTTTGCCCCATAAATTTAACAAACTTCTTAGCTTACTCTATAATAAATGCGCTTTTGAGATGCTTGAGCAGGATGTAGCTCCTCACAGACACTAACTCAACAAAAGTGAAACGGGTGCGTTCTGCTAAGCCACCTAGGCAGCATGCTCCTTATGGAGCACGCTAGCATGCTCCTTATGGAGCACGCTGACATGCACCATATATTTAATTCATCTTTAGCTGCCTTCCATTTTTTAAAGCTAAGGTGGAAAACATTTGCTAAAATGTAATACTATTGTGGGTTAGATGTACTCCAGGTGAAGATACTGCGAGAGAGGCTTGGTTTTGATGATGCCTTCAACTACAAACAAGAACCTGATCTCAATTCAGCTCTAAAAAGGTCCAATGATCTATTACTGTATCAGACTCTCAGTTTTCAATCTGCCCTATCATTCCCACCATTTGATATTCATTTTTATGGAAGAAACTTAATACTCCCTCCACCTTAATAATTATAATAATAATGAGTGATGGTCAATGTATAACTATTCAGTTATGTTACATGATTTATAAATTTATTTTTGGGTTCAACTTAATCTGACATGTTTGATAATTAGGAGTTTCTTTTCAAGTTAGATAAAGAACTCTGAAGCATAATCCCATAAACAGTGCAAGTGTCTGATGAAAAAATCTACTTATGAGCATTATGATTTACCAAAACACTAATTTATCTAAATTCAAAGATGCAGACGCACAACAAAAACAGTAGCGTATAAGCTGGGTTCTTTTTACTTTTATTGAAGCACAAATAAATGAAAATGACACTTTTACCCATGTTTTTCAGCTTATTTAGGTATAGTTCTCTTCAATTTATTTAAAATAAATATGTAATCCTACCAATTCCGTCATTCCAACTAAAATTTCTAAAAACTTGAGCCAAACTTACGCTTGCCTTATAAGGGGCGATTTACACTTTTTAAGTTAGTTCGAGGGCCTATTTGACTCTTTAGTCTTATAAAGTCTTGTTTCAATAGGTGTTTCCCAGATGGAATAGACATATATTTTGACAATGTGGGAGGTAGCATGTTGGAAGCCGCAGTTGCCAACATGAACTTACATGGGAGAGTTGCCGTCTGTGGTGTAATCTCCGAGTACACGGATCCCGCAAAGCGGGGCGCACCCAACATGCTAGACGTGATTTATAAAAGGATCAAGATCCAAGGGTTCCTTGCTGCTGATTTCATCATGATGAAATCATACACAGATTTCCATGCCAAGACTAGAGAGTATCTCGAGAATGGGAAGATTTAGGTGCTTGAAGATATTTCCCACGGCATTGAGAGCATTCCCATGGCATTCATCAGAATTTTTCATGGGGACAATGTCGGAAAGAAGATTGTTCAGATTGCACCTGAGTAAGTCATTGGAGTTGCTTCAATTGTTCTTGAGAAGTGTGATTTTATTACTAACCACTGAAGTCCAATGAAAAAAGGCTTTCAATTGTTTAGCAGCCTTTATAAAGAATGATTCAACTAATATTTCAATGCACTTCCTCAGTCAAATGTTTTACGGAGTATTATTTTATAACTCAAGCTATGTTCTATATAATCCCCATATCGCCGTATGTATAGATTCCGCACAGATTATTTACAGAAATGAACTTTTGTGATTCTTGTTATACTCAAAGCAGAAAGCCAAACATAATTAAAATTAAAAATTGTAAGTTCATGCCACTTACAATTTAGTTCTTGTTATAAAATTCTTGTTATTTAATTTTGATAAAATTCTTGTTATCGCCGTATGTTTTTACTTGGACTGTTTTTAGTTCCTGACCAGAACAGACCAGACTAAATTTGAACAGTTATAGAGACCAGACATTTACTAGATTAGACCAGACTAGACCATAAAATTTCAGTTCAAGTAAAAACATCCAAAGTCCACACATGCAGTCAGTGGCGGACGGAGTTCCCGCTAGGAGGGGCGGCATTGTGTAAAATACATACAAATACATGTATATAAAAATTTTGGAGTAAATATACCCAGAAAAAAAAATTGGGGTGGCGGCGGCCCACATTAGACCCCTTTGTGTCCGCTGTTGCATGCAGTTGAATCTTGCAGGGACTTATTAGCTAGGGGTTAGCTGGGGAGGCATCCTGGGCGGCCCTTCAAGTTTGGGGAAAACGAAATACGGACATAATACTCCATATTTTATTTGCGAAAAAAAAATATGTAAAAAGTTACATGAAAACAATCTGTATAATGTCTCATTTCAAGTTCAACATTTTGTTCTGCCCACACACCTTAGAAAGATGAATGAACTGGTATGATCTGTGCAAGAGGAGTGGTATACAGATTACAGAGCTATACAATGTGTTCACTCCAAGTACACCCCTAACCATGATTATATTATATGGCGCACTTTTTTTTTCTTATTTCTTATTTCTATAGAAATATTCGACATAAGTTAAAACAACACATTTTGGGTTTATACAGTTGCTGATTACACATGCAAAAGTAAAGAGGAGGCTGTAGCCTGTAGTGAAAGGGTCATACTTTGTATACTCAAATCTAAGATATAATAATCATAAATTCGATTAATGATAAGAAAAACTTAAATATTATCTTATAAACAAAATATTATGTGAAGATAAAACAATTATTTCCATTCATTTGAAGTTTTGAACCAATTAAACATTACGATGGAACAAATCGTCCAACATGAAACAAGTATAGATTGAAAAGACAGCATTTTTGCTTGGAACCTGATCGGTGAAAATTATACGTCCTTTTGCAGCACTGTATTGTATCATTGTATGCATACTAATCAAAGTTTATTAAAAGCCATTAATGAAGGCATATCCATTATTCTTTGGAGAGGAAGTAGTAGGAGTGATGTATATTGTAGAGTAGAACACGCATCCAATGACATGACATTATCTCATATTCTCATTGTTGGTTTGTCTTTTCTATGGTTCTCCGATCCGCTAAAATCAAAGCCCGGTACCGCTTGCTTCTTCATCCTGGTCAACCGGGCCAGGTTGGGCCTGCACAGTAGCGGGTCAATCGGCCCATCCCAGTCCACAGTCCACCCCTACTTTAATCCCACATTTCTTATATTATTTAAAAGATGACAAGAACTTTCTTTTTTTCTTTAATCTTTAATCAAAACCTTCATTTACATGAAATAAATGAGGAAAAAAGATGTCTAAGTAAGAAAAAAAATCCATACCATCTAACAAAAGTGGTCGTGTTGATTTCATTTACCCTAACAGCAACACATTAATGGAGTACTCAAATGAAAAACAAGAAGCCAAAAACTTGACACAAGACACGAAAGAAGAAAAAGATGACAGGAAAGACATAAGTTTAACTTTGTTCTTCACCACCAACTTGTTGGTCCTTCTCAGCAGCTGCTGCTGCTGCAATTGTCTCATCAAATTTGTCACTCTTCCCCAGCACAACCTCAATCTATACAAAAAATTATATGATAAATAGGTCTCATAATATATGCAAAATATTATTATACCAGTAAAAGGTGCCCAGTCAATTGTAATGTACTCCGTACTTCATATATAAAAATGAGAACTAATAATAACTAGACCATTTTTATCCTACAATTTGCATGTTTTATAACCTCAAGCTAGCCTAAGGGGCAAAAACTACGAATGATGATGTATGAGGACTCCTTTGTTTGGAAACAATGCCACCTTTCAAGTAGATAATATATACTCCCCCCATCCCAAAAAATACTTCCAACTTTCCTTTTTGGGCCGTTCCAAAAAGTACTTTCCACTTTCCCTTTTTGGACAATTTGTGTGGCTCACGTTCATTTTACCTTTTTCTTACACAACTACAACCTTACATTTCACTTTATTCTACTTTCTTAATAAGCGTGCCAATTCAAACCGGGAAGTAATTTTGGGACGGAGGGAGTATTATCATTACAAAACTCACTTTGGCTTTTGTGATTGGACGTCCTCTTGAATCATCTCGAACATCAACTGTTGATGTCATGATCCCTGAAATACAATAATTATTCACATTACCATTACACGATATCCCCAAACTAAGACAGGCAATGTATGTTTATTCAAATTTGTTTATCCTCTAATTAATTTTTATGTGAAACAATTCCTATTTAAAATTAAGGACTTCAAAATAAATGCTGAAATTCTTACTCTTCTCAACAGCCAAACCATTGTTCTTCAGAATTTCAGTTACAGAGACTACAGTGGAAATAGCTGCAAATACAAACTAGGTTCATCAATGACACAATAAATATAATCTATCCAACATGCAAAAGAGTAAGATGCATATAAACTGTATAGCTTACCGTCAAAACATTTTTAAATAAAAAAACAAGAGTTCATTGAAATTAAATGGGAATCGAGACTCCATTCAACAGCCAACAAACTAAACTGCACCACTTGAGCATGAGAGTAGCACACCACTTGCGCTAACATGAATGGGAAAAAAGTTCTGTCGGAGCGAACTCGTGCACTATATGGCATTCTACACCTAGACAAGCCAAGTGAAGTGACATGGGGGTGGGGGCAGTCAAGAGTGATCTAGTGCCTGGACTGGTGGGTATATAGTAGACTTTTGGAACATAGATAGTAAAGTGCGCTTTGGTAGTCACTAGTCAGTCATATTATGCTTAAATGAACAGAATATGTAGCTTTTCACTCGCATATTTGGCTGAAATTGGTGCTTCCAATCACTTACACTTCTATTTTGAAATTCAGTCATTTGAGCCAAACAACCCTAACCAAATGGTCCTAAACATTTCATATTAGTATATTGTAACGAAAATGAAGCACATAACTTTGTATACCCTGTTGGGTGATGTTCATGTATTAGTTTGGAATCACATTTCACAACAGCCTAATGTATTATGAAATCAATCAATCAATCAAGAGTGAAGCACGAAATATATAGGAAATACTTTAAATTGTGTCAGAGTCTAATCTTCTCTAAAAGGAAATACCGAACCAAAACAGGAGATGGTATCAAGAGTAAGGATTCATACCCATTCCAAGCCCAGAGAGCTCAACTTCATTGTGCTGCTGCATATACCTCTGTATAAGACAAAAAAATTCCAAACACCAAATATATTCAGACACATTTGTAAATGCAAACAGAAAATTTCTATGCTGCTTCATGTGGTCAGTGTGTGTGTGAAACAGACACCCACATACACAAAGCAATGTTGTAAAAAGACTAGGCTTCGCATGGTTTATGGTTGACCTTATACCATATAGTCAGTTGTGTAGCTGGGGGTAGGTTGAGTCTGACCTCTGTCCAACCATGTTTTGGATCATGAATTTATTTATGTGTTTTTCTTTTCTGAGGAAAAAACTAATTACGGAGTATAATTTTAGAGGGATGGTGTGAGCCAGTAGAATAGATAATCCTAGAAGGTCCTCATGAGTTACCTGCAGGAATTACTATGTGATATTATAGGGTAAGGATTTGATGATGATTTTAGGGATGGAGTGAAGTGTTAAGACCTTATCTTAGGAAATGCCTTTTGCACCCGGCTGCCTTTTAATACGGAATTAATCATGGTGTCAGCAATACAGAGAAGCACATATACTAGTATACTCTCCTTTTGTCAGCTTAAATGGAGAAAATAAATAGCAATACTCCACAAGCATATAATTTCACATCGATAGAAACCTAAATCCATATGAAAGTGTATTAAGCAGTCACAACGACTATACCTTGGCTAGATTGACGTAAAAGAATAGCGGCTTCTTGGTGTTGGAGACTTGAATACGATTCTTCTTCTGAATGTCACCGCCGGTGATACTAACGTTGTTGATTCCTTCAGTAATCTCCTCCATTCCTGATTCCAGATTTCCTTCGAATAATACCTTACCCTAACAGTTGTTGAAATCAAGCAGATATAAGATTAAGAGGAGGCGAAAATCAAGTAATCGGTACTTGTAAAGGTGTAGAGGAGAATGTGCTGGCAGCCTTGATGTGAGAATGAGTTGCACGAGGAGAATCAGGAAACTACCCGTAACCCTAGAGTCAAATTTAGGGGATTTTTCGAAAGATAAAAAAAATCAAAGAACCTTTTTTGGGAGAAAATGATTTATATTAAAATAACAGATTGTAAGCAGGAAATTATTTTTATGACAAAACAAAAGAGAACCTAAGCAGGATACAAAAAGACAAAAAATACACTATTTGGTGTCCACCCTTGAACCATATTTAAAACTATCACATTCGAAGAGGTAACCAGATTCGCTGATTCTGAATTGAGCTTAATCCTGAGTCAATGATAGACAAACCAGACTTCTCATTACATGTCTTAAATTCTAGAGTTTGGGCGCAAGGAAAAAACAACACAAACAGAACAACATGGAGTTCGAACCAAAAACCATAAATAAAAATAGCAAAAAAAAAGTGTAGTTCGAACAACATGTAGTTCGAACCAAAAGCGAGCAGGAAGCACCGATGCTTCATGAACTTTGGCGGGCCTGGAGGCTCTAACCATTCCATTCCATTCACCTATGAACCCCCTGCTCTTGCTCTTTCCATGTGTGTCTCCTCTTCTGATCTCCTGGTCCGCATTCATCCTGTCCTGCTCCAGCGTTAGTAATCGTCACCACCCAACCCTGGGACTCATCTTCTGTGTGGCTCGTATTATGCTCTTGCTCCTTTTTATTATTGTTTGACTCCTTTGTTGTTCTCTCTCTTGAGCTCCCCTCGTTCACCAGCCACTTGTTTCCCAAAGAGGGACGTGTTTCCCCCCTCTCGCATGCATCCATGGTCCAAAAGGATTAGCAAGTACCTTCTCCCCTTTCTCATAAGTTAGAGGGCAAAATCTTCCAGCGTGTCATATAACTCCACAGACAAAACAAAAGTTAGATAGCTTTTCATACTTGAAGTCCACACATCAACCCTCCCTTTTACTTTTCTTTATGGTAGTTCCTACCTTTAAGAGTTCCCCCCGATATCCAAAGACACCCTAACCCTCATATAAGACTCTCATTTATCATCAGATTGATTATCGTCTCATTTGATCAGTTTTTTCATATAATTTCCAATTCTCCTAGCAGTGTCTACATTAGAGTAACCATACAAGACATTGTGCACCTGCAACCAAAACTCAGCTGAATGTAGAGGGACCGTAAGAGGAATATCCCGTGGTTTAATGGCCCTTTAAACCAACAAATTATGATCAAACAACCAAGGTCCATTGTCCAACACACGGGTCATAACAACAATATGATAAAATTTAAATAGATACTTTTTTTTCGAATATCCTGAATCAAAACGCCTTTACCTAGACGTCACAGAGTCGCCATAAGATCTCTGAAAATTTGAAACTTCACGACCTTCATCATCCAACACCAATTCATCCGCCTCCTGTCCTAATCCCAAGCCATCATATTGACTGATTAATTTTTCCATCTGACCATTGTCCTCTTGCGCCGAGCATGCGACATCGCCCTTCTGCCGCGACCTGTCGATCTTCGATGTGGATCCAAATGTTGTCATAGAGCACGCTGCGCATCGATCTAGCCAAAGTGATGCACTTGTTCGGCAGAAAGTAAGCCGCCCTTGATCAGCGGAAAACCCTAGAGAGGGAAAGGCCACAAATTCATAGAGCCTTGTACTCAAAGGAATATTTTATGTTTTTTCATAAAATTGGAAGATTGGAGATAGGAAATTGGAAAATACATTTACCTATTTATTCTCTAAAATTCAAAAATAGATATATGTTCGTGATTTTATTTTGAAGTTGGAGAGCTCACTTTTTTATGTTTTTCAAAATGGAAATATGCAACACTACACTGCATCTTGTATTTGATTCGCGCTCAGGTATCCTATTAGGGTAATTTTTGTTAAAATTACATATTTTTCGAGATCTATGCAACAATGTATGTTGCATAATATATTTTGTTTATTAAATAGGGAAATCAATTTTCACTCTTTTAGCGTTTTATACATAGTAACTTACTTTTGGTTAGGTATCATAAATTTCCTCCAAAATAAATAAGTTTCAAGAACCACAGATCATAAAAAACATGTGACTTCAAAAAAATATTACTAGCATTACGTAGTTAAGCATGTTATGAAAAAACATGTGACCTTAAAAACAATTTATTAATACCATCTCTCATAAAAAAGCCACTTATTAAATCTTTTTCATGGATTGTCATTTATGTAAACTTTTTGTCTTACTTCAAATGTATCCAATTAGGAGTACTTTATTTTACATTATACACACATATTTATTTTAATGAGTAATATTTGTCATCTTTTACACATCGGTTATATTAGGTTTCAATTTCTCAATGTATATACTTATTTTATGATTTTGAAAAATGAAATGGAAATTAAACAAAGGAAATTCGGAAAACTTGTGTTCAGATTTGGAAAATGGAAATCTTGGAAGTGAAAAGAAAAAAGAAAAAAAAATAGAAAATTGGAGAAATAGGTAAAAGGGCCTTGAGTTTCGTTCAAGGTTATTTTCTAAAGAAGTAATCAAACTTAATTTTATTGTCTCTGTCAAAGATTCAAAGATTATTCTGAAATGGCACAATAATACGCCAACCAGAGAACTTGAAGCCTATAATGACCAAATAAAAACACACTCTAATGTTAGGGCCAACAAAATACAAAAACATAACATAAATAAAAATCAGACACAAACTAACAATAAAAAGAAAAATGAAAAAGGAAAATTTGTGAGGTTGCACTCTTTTGTTTTCCCGGCTTCCCGAAGAGCCTGTTATCCAGAATTCGTTCAACCCTATTTTTTAGGGGTGGGCAAAATAATCGAACCGGCATGGTACCGAATCAGACCGGCATGGTACCGGACCGGAAAACGGGATTTCAAACGGTTCTAAAAATTTTTGTCCCGAACCGAACCGGACCGATTCCAAACCATGTCATGACCGGTTCTCATAAAATGAGAACCGGTACCGGACCGAACCGAACCGAATTATAATTTTATTAATTTATACGGAGTATAATTTTATAATTATATATACATGTATACCATATTACCATTAAGTACATTGATTACTCATTTGCACTTTGCTAATTGCTACTTAACCGGATCGGTAAAAATGAATAGTGATGGGGTTATGGGACCAGGCCCAGAGCCTAATCGGCCCAGACCCCGAACTTGGACCTGCGGGTCCAAGCCCAGCAACCTAGAGCTCGAGTCGGCCCAACCAATCAGGGCAATCAAGGAGCGGAAGCCCAAGAGAGCCTGTCGACCAGCCCAGCGGGGAGCCTGCCTTCCAGCCCAGTGGGGAGCATGCCTTCCAGCCCAATGGGGAGCCTGCCTTCCAGCCCAGCTGGGAGCCTGCGGTCCAGCCCAACCGGAAGCCTACCGACCAGCCCAACTGGGAGCCTGTGGTCCAACCTACCCGGGAGCCTGCCTTCCAGCCCAACTGGGAGCCTGTGGTCCAGCCTACCCGGGAGCCTGCCTTCCAGCCCAGGTGGGAGCCTGCCTCCAGCCCATCGGGGAGCCTGCCTTCCAGCCTACCCGGGAGCCTGCCTTCCAGCCTACCCGAGAGCCTGCCTCCAGCCCGGTGAGAAGCCTTCCTCCAGCCTAGCGGGAAGCCCACCGTCCAGTCCAGCAGGAGGGAGCTCAAGCGTCCAGCCTGCCAGCCAGGAAGAGTAACGGCCAACAATCAATGCGCTACTTAATTATGTGTTTAATTCCGTATTAATGTTGTAATTAATTTAGTCATTATTATGTTCGGCAGTTACCATTTGTAATCGCCTATAAAAGGCAATTCGAATTTCAAATACAGATATGCTATTTCTGGCTAACTTTCCATATTCGTACTTTCCTAATTCTTGCTTGAGTGTCGTACGTAGCTTTCCTAAAAGCCTACGAGCGTCCTATTTTGGACCAACAAATAGTATTATATGAAATTCATTAACTATGTTATTGCTAGTTATTTGTGTTTTGTACTACTATAGTTTATAAGAAATTCATTAACTATGTAATACTACCTCTGTCCCAAAAAACTTTTCCATTTTTAAGACTTTGACCAATTTTACTTTTTATTGAGACTTATTTATAATATAAAAATTATATGAAAATGTTCTTTGTTAAAATACTTTCATAAAAGTATAAAATTTATAACTTCCATAATACTCTATACTAATCAAAATCATGGTTCAATTTTTTTGAAATGACAACGTTTTTAGGACGGAGGTAGTATGAAAATTGATAATTGTGTGAATTTTTGGATGATGACTAAGTTTTAATTTATCGAAAAAGTGGCATTGTTTGGCATTGGTATGACATGATACCGGACCGTTTGAAAATGGAATCGAACCGAACGGGTTTAGGTCTAAGACCGAACCGAACCGAACCGTTTCAATAGTGACGGTCCAGGTACGGGTTCGGTAGAATATTGGACCGGACTGGACCACGCCCACCCCTACTATTTTTTCCGCCATCAAATTTCAACTTCATTATCATGCCAACAAATACGGTTGATCTCCTTATTCATCACATGAGAACAACCATTCTCAACACTGAACTCTGTGTTATCGCGTCGCCCTCCAACAATGCAGCCGTCGCACCTCGTGGCTTATCCTCCGCAACTCGCGGAGCAGCCACCACAATCGGCCCAAACACACATGTTGTTGAATCTATTGCCGGTTGGAAAATGTGTTAAAATTGCATTAAATGATCAGTTTTGGGAGATATTTTGAGTGGGGTCCACTTTCGATTTGGGTAGGGTCAAAGTTGTTTCGGATTCTCCTTGCTAATGGTTACAATTCGATATATGATACACTCAAAATGAATAATGGGTGAATGAAAAATTGATTCTCGAAGTTCACTCATTGAAATGGAAAAATAAGGATACCGTAAAAAACGGTATAATTTTTATATATTTAGGTTCGAGCCGATTCATATATTTAAAAAAAACGGGTACTCCTATGTATGATTTCATAGTACTAGCATGTCAATGAGTTTTGTGATACCATAATGTCATTGAGTTTTGTGATATCATGATGTCACAATTTGGTGATTCTGTAGTGTTATAAATTTGCGACACTTTTAGTGACACTTTATTTGTGTCACTAGCCCCACTTTCATTGACAATTTATTAGTGTCACAAAAACTTTTGATGACAATAATTTGACATTATTGTAAAACATTTTTCTAGTAGTGATTTTTAACCCTGGAACCGAAATAGGAGTTTTTTTAATAAAAAACGGAGTAAAAATCCTACATCAAAGTTGATGAAAATGCGGAAAAATTTTATAAATAAATCAAAGTTTTTTTTGTCCATGCAAAAAAGTGCACTTCTAGTATGTAATAATGTACCTTATATGACTAAAAGAGGATAGTGAAAATACTTTGTATGTGAAGACTACTTTTTATTGAAATCGAACACACACAGACACACATATTGTTGAGGTTTATTCCTAAAGATTCAATAGATCAAATTGATCGTTTTTATTAGTATTAGTATTTATGTGATGCTTCTTTTTGTAGAGGAACTTAGATGATGGTTTAAAAATACTAGATGGGCTTATTTGACACTTTTTCTAGAAATAATCATCATACTATAACAAAACATGGCTCTAACAACACGTCATGGGTCATTATTTTTCACCCAAACGTAAATAAGATATACAAATATACAATGTTGGGAGGATTAGAGTACTCACAGGAGTCACAGGCTCACAGCGAGTCCGAATTTACATTGCTCAAGTGCTTAACACAATAATTGAGAGCTACACTTGAATAAATTATAAATATGCAAGCAAAAACTACAACTTAAATCATTTCTACCCCATGAACTCAAATTGGTGAATATCTCAAACTTGCATGTATAAAATAAACATCTTAAACTTTACTACCTTCGCCCCGAAATGAAGTTCGCATTCACTATTCACTTGATCAACATAAATCACTCTTTTACTTTATATATCAAATTTTTATCAAATTTACATTTTCTTGATTAGACTTTGTAGCGGTTTTAATGTAGTTTCTGCATATATAAATTTTATTTACTAAAAATAAATCTGAGTGTGAACAGAGATCGAATTGCTTTATCGTCAGTCAAGCATTGTAAAACCGAAACGGGAACTTCTTTCTGGACGGAGAGTATATTATAGGTGATCTCTAATTCTCTAACCCATGAAATCAAATTATTTATTTCAAAAATGGAAACTTAAGATGCTATGTGCACCGTTTTAAATGCTTAGAGTATTTAAATCATGCACCTAAACTGCTAAAATAACTTTGACCATATATATCATGATGTTTATATCTAGCATGCAAGTTTGAGGTATTAAGCTCACACATTTACAATGTTTGGGATATTTGAGTGATTGTTCTCTTTATTATATGTAATTTAGTATATTAAGGAGTATTATGAAGGTATCCTAGTATGGAAGCTATGAGCTCTTAGACAGCAAAAGTTTCTCTTCTTCCTCCAGCCTTTTCAACCATCTCAAACCAAGGTCACACCCTCCATCTGCAGCCAATCCAAACTGTTCTCTAGCCAGTTCAACCGGGTTTAGCTCTGGCTCTCCTCGCCTTTTTGATGTCCTCTTCCAAGGCCTCTTCGTATAAAACTTAGTTATTGATTCTGGAACTTTGGCCCCTGACCCAGGCGATTCCATGGCAGGGGATAGCATTGACAAATCTTAGTTTTAGAAAGGAGTTCAGTGATCACATATTTAGTACAATCAGCCATCTTTACCGTCTGGATGGTAAAGGGGCAGGTTCAGGTTGGAGACCACAAATCCACGACCGACCTAGCAACACACTTCGGTAGAGGTTTAAAGCATCCACCCTCAACCCACCCAATAGGAGGCCACTAAATATTAATACTTCGATATTGAAAACAATAAGTTAACTATATGAAGTTATCGAATGCTAATTTTTCTAAAGATATTGATGTATATACTTTGTCATATACTACCTCCGGTCTTCGATAGTGTGGACACATAAAAGTGTGCCAATATGGGTCCTTGGGATTCCTATATGCACGGTGTAACTAAGGAATGATAAGAAAAATAATGCTAACTCAGTCCCACTAACATTGGGACATGAAGAGGTGGTGCGGTTATTAAGAAAAGTGTGCTTATATGATTGATATTAAGTTGATAAAGTGAGAATAAAGTAAGAATGTTTTAAAACCACACGAATCTTACCAAATTTGGTATGAGACAATCTTGGTGGGACAAACCGAAAAGAAAAGATCAAACAATTTTAGCGGGACGGAGAGAGTAATAATAATAAGGATATGAATAGTTGTAATTGTAATGAGGAATAGTTTTTACCTTGCAAGAGAAGGGAGCCATATGCTATAGCAGCTCCAGCATGACCCTTAGAAGAAGTTTAAAGTATTAGTGGCCAATATTCACTCAATTAATGCTTTTTTGGCATTAATTTATACATTAAACAGTCCCTCACATGCCACCTGCCCCAAGTAGTTGCTGTTATAGTGGTGACAATCAATAAGTCCCTCATTGGGTTGGTTTCTATTGAACTTGGGTCTAGTATACAAGTATGAATATTATCTCTTAAGTTTTTTAGGGTGAGTTAGAGCACATTCAGATGGTATCCAAGCCTGATGTATGGTGTTTTGTGGGACGCCTATCGATTCGATGGTTTGGGGCAACTCAGTTTGAGGTCAATTTGGACCCATTTGTCCACCCCACTAGTTGTTCAACCCGACTAGCACCAAGGAAGGTGTGTCGAGTAACCCACATGTAGTGTCTAATGGATTTGAACATAGTACAATAGATTAATAGTTAACGTAAAGCTCACGCTCTCACCCTTTTAGGATCCTTTTGATGTGAGTTAGACCCAATTGAATGATGATGACAGCATGAGGGAATGAAAAGTTCCATACCTTTTTTGATGCTCTGTGGAAACACCAAATTGCAGAATCAATGTCTTTTTTCACACAATCTCCAGTCAAATAGACTGCACCTAAAAGGTATAGTGCACCCGAGTGCAACTGATACAAATCTTTGTTAGTAATTAGAGGGCAGATCAATGATGTAATGACGTTATTGGTTTGCAGTTCATAATGTATATACCTGATCAGCTGCCTTCTCTAAATAGTAAAACGCTTGCTGATCTGATTGAACAGCCTCATTCTGCAATATGGTTGAAATTTTCCAGGAATGTCGAAAAATATAATATTGCTACAATGATGTGATAGGGACCTACCTATTAGAATAATATTAGAAGTAATAATAATAATATTAGTAATAAGGGTCTCTAGTATAAATGGATGGGAAGGGGAAGTAGTAAGTAGGCTGTTTCTGACTATTGTCATTCTGGGGGGCTTCGGCTCATTGTTACCTGGTTGCCTACGTGAATAAAGTTGCCATTGAGTTCTTGTGTAGATTCTGTGATTGTGTGTGAAATTGCAGAGTTCTAACATGATGCAGTGTGATGGGGAAAAACTCTCCATCGTGATTAGTGATATAAAACGATGTGAATGCCATTGTTTGGCATTGCGGTGATGCAAGACTGCTTTTTATATGAAATAACAAAGACATGTCCGCAAAAAATTGTGCTGAGGTGCTATAGTTTGAAAACATCTCCTAGTAGTCCATAGTGTATTTGTAGTTGTGAAATTCAAGCCACACCGCTATTTTATTTTACTAAAAGAGCTGTTAAGGGAAAAACGTTTTGTTCCTTAAAAGTCACAACCATACCAAACTAAGGCTAAATCAAATTAGATGGGTGGCTAGTCTAAATCTATAAGAACGTGCTTATGTCATAAACTTGTACACATTGAAAGACAATTCAATCGTCATCTTTCAAATGGGCGAGAAGCATGCAACCTGAGTACTAGTACGGAGTAGCATAGTAAGCCTCATCTATGCTACTTGAAAATAACTTAATAAATAACACTGGCTATAGGCAAAACAACAAACGTATTATTATTCACCATCCATGACGAAATAACAAACACTGCCTTTAAGAAACAAAGAAAGCATACCTCAACTCTCAAACAGCGACCTAACTCATACTGAGCATCTGGATCACCCATCTCTGCAGCTTCAACTAACAAAGCAGCACCACTATAATGAGAAAGGAAATTTGAGAACATCAGTTGCAAACTGGATAAAAAAGCTAGATAATACTCCATCTGTCCTATAGAACAGTAATTGATTCTTTCATGTAGTACCCTTTATATAGTCATAATATGGAAACACGGGAAACATGAAAAGAGAGCTAAAAGCATATATTTTATTAACATGTAGGCAAAAATTAATTACTGCTTTTCCTCATAAAGATTGGCTTGAAGGTAATTGCAAGGTGATAGGATCCTAGGCTAAAGAGAATAATAATAAGAATAATGGAATAATGTTTACATAGTTGTTATATGTTTTAGGGGGTTCAGGCCTGGTATTATTTAGTTATGGGCCAGCCCATAAGGAAAATATTATAAATAGGAGCTGAGAGTAGAATAAGGGTAGGCAGAATTTGGGACTTGGGCTGGGATTCTGGGAGAGATAGGCTGCTCTAAGTGCCTAATCCTGTATTGTTTCATTTCAGTTCTTCATTTACGTTCATAATAGACATTAATTTCTCTCTTTCGGTCCTGGTATCTATCATTGGTATCAAAGCAATAGCTCCTGAAGTCTGAATCGATCATCAGCATCAGCAAATTGGAAGACAGTTGAAGAAGAGATGGAGAAGAGTATGGACAATATTGAAAGTCAGTGGAAGGAGATGAGAACGTTGATGAACGAGTCGCTGGATGTGCTGCGCTACATGTTGCGCAATCTTCGTTGCAGGCGACCTAGAGATCGAGCGAGGAGCCCTAGACGTCGTCGGCCAACTGAAAGCCAGTTCTCGTCGTCCTCGCAAGCCAAGTCTCCCAGTGCATCGCGAAGTGCGCAGGTTTCATCTCAATCGCTAAGTTTGCAGGTTCCATCGCGAACAGCTTCTCAGAGTTCGCAACCTTCTTCTTCCAGTTCGCAGTCACGAACTTCGTCTCACAGTTCGCAATCGCGAACTTCATCATCCGCCAGCAGTTCACGACCAAGTATGACGCGATCGGGAGGAGAAGCTTCCCATTCGCAGATGTCATCGCAAACCGCTTCAGCTTCGTCGCGAACAGTAGCTTCCAGTTCTCAGGTGTTGTCTCAGTCGCTTACATCTTCTCACACATCGCAGAGTTCGTCGCTATTACTTTCTCCCAGTTTGCAGGTGTCGTTGCCAGCAGATTCAAGCGGGGCGAAAACATCCTTCCGGAGAAATAGCACTCGTCGAATCAGGAAATAGATTGCTGGAGAATCCACAGTCGATGATGAATACTGAGTCGAGGCCAACTGAACCGGTTATCAAGTCACCGAATCCGGGCGATGAACGCGAGGAGCAATCTACAGTTGCAGTTGAACCTGGCACAATTGCTCAATCCCTCATTGATATCGCTTCTTCCAAGTACGAGTCTGTCAAGTCAGATTTGGGAACCAACATGTTCAAGCTTATTCAGATTTATACTTCAACACCTTATCCTGTTGATATTGGACTATTGGAGTGTATCAAATGGTAGAAGAGTTGATGCTTGCTGCTGAGAGGTCAGTCTCTGAAAAAGTGAAAAGAGACTGTACAAGTATACCTATTCTCTATTAAGGTTTAATCCCAGTCCAACTCCTTCCAGTTGTCTGCCTCCTTCACGAGCCTATTCTCTCAGTTCGTGTTAAAGTACGAAGCCATCAAGAGGAGTTTCAGGTGATTGTACTTCTGTTGAAGGAAATAAAGCTTTATTATCAATTGATGTTGATTCCACAAGTAAAAATCCAAATCTAGTGCTCAATGCTTTTGAGATAAGAAGATTGTGTGGGGTAGCAAGTACCCTTGCACGTATTGGACAGGTTTCCTGAGAAGATGAACTCACTGCAATACTGCATCAATTCGGCTAGACAGTGTGTATAAACTGGCTATAGTGTTCTGGAATGTTACTGGAATTGGTAAAGGTTGTTTGGGAGGCAAATGGCAGGTTCAAGCTGAAGCCGGGCATGCAACGCTTGCATCCTCAACAGCATTATTTGGTTCTGCTGGTGATGCTCCAACCTGTAGTGACCTGGTTATTGGTCATGGTTCACTCTTATCATTGCTAGGTCAGTTAAATGAGCCTGCAAAGAATTCTAAGTTGAGAAACACTACATGGACTGCTAAGCTTCTGTCAATGTCAGGCTGGACAGCCACCCACACCACTTGACCTGGTCAAATCTGCATTGCCAGTCCAACAACTAATCCATATGAGTGAGGAAGAAGTTATGGCAGATGCTTGTTGGGCACCTTCGTATCTATTGGATGGACCAAAGGATAAGCTTCACGCTGTCATTGAGGCATCTATCATTGTTCCATTGGTGCAACCCCATCAAAATGCAGAAATTGACATCAAGGAGGCTTTCTGGGCTATCTCTAATGCCATCTCTGGAGGTTCTCCCGATCAAATTAGGTTCTGGGCAATTAAAGGCTGCATTGAGCCACTATGTGCTCTCTGGCTATGTCCAGACCCAAGAATTGTCAATGCATGCCTTGAATGGCTGGAGAACATTCTGAAGGTAGGCGAGGCAGACAAAGACATGGGATTGAACAGTGGGGTCAATTTATATGCACAGATGGTTGACAGAGGTGAAGGACTAGATAAGATTGAGAATCTCCAAATTCAGAACAACCATGAGGTATATGAAAAAGCTGTGAAAACCTTAGGGAAATATGGGGCTGAGGAAGTGACGATGAAGGTAAAAGAAGTGAAGCTCCTAGATTTTAAATCAAGGAGGTATTGCCGTATTGGGAAGGAAGAGGTGCAAGGATGAAGATGAAGCTGAAGGTCAAGGCTGTTTCCTATCACCCACCTTGAGGACAAGGTGGTTGTCTAGGGGGGGAGATATGATAGGATCCTAGGCTAAAGAGAATATTAATAAGAATAATGGAATAATGTTTACATAGTTGTTATTATATTTTAGGGGAATCAGGCCTGGTATTATTTAGTTATGGGCCGGTCCATAAGGAAAATATTACAAATAGGAGCTGGGTAGAATAAGGGTAGGCAGAATTTGGGACTTGGGTTGGAATCCTGGGCGAGATAGGCTGCTCTAAGTGCCTAATCCTGTATTGTTTCATTTCAGTTCTTCATTTACGTTCATAATAGACATTAATTTCTCTCTTTCTGTCCTGGTATCTATCACAAGGGGATTCACAAAAAGTTTTAACATGTAAGTAAGTTGGAAACTTAGAGTACTAAGTTCATATATGCAATTTCATTTCACCGTGTTGAAAGTGAAATAATGAATTACTCATATATAAGAATTCTTGAAATGGAAAATTCAATAGGGGTAAACTTGGATGGCAAATAAAATGCACTCCTAATAAGAAAAACTGGTTACTTTTGTGAGGCAGGACAAAATGAAATACAAGTTTAAAAATAAGGCTATAAAACTAGATAACTTGTGATTGATTTTAAAATTTAGGTGATTTTTTATAGGCGTGATATAGATCAAGTGTACATTTAAACCGGACCGGATAAGAATGCTGGAAGTGTTTCTACATGTCAATAAACATTCAAATTAGATAGACACATGTTATGCAAGAGAAAAGGCATGTTTTAAAAAATTAACAGGGTGAATAGATAAGGGAGAATTTGACTTTGGACCCCATTTTTTGAGTGCTATTTGACTTTGCACCTTATTTTTAAAAACATTAATACATGCACCGCATTTCACTATAAAATCATTTGACTTTGCACCCCACTCCTTCACAATTTTTGGGCCGATGGGGTGCAAATATTAATGATTTTCAAAATGAGGTGCAAAGTCTAATATCGCCCAAAACATGGGGTGCAAAGTCAAATTCTCCCTATAGATAAACTGCTTACATGGCTTTGCAAGCGCCGGGGACATGGTACTTGAAATGCAACTTTGACAGCCAATATCTAGCTTGTGTATTTGAATTGTCTACCTCCAGAGCTAATTCAAAGCTCTCCTTTGCTTCCTAACACAAATACATCATATATATAAATATTTATTACACGCCTAAAGACTCCAACACAAAAAGGAAATAGCTTGCAGGCTAAAGCTTACACTTAGTAGAGGAATGAGTCGTTTATCTTTGAGCTCACAATAATCAATAACCCTGTCAACTTCCTTCAGAGCGGTCCATCCTTTTGATATAAACTCTACAGCTTTCTTGTTCCTGTTGTGTAGCCCTCTCTAGGAAACGAATATAATTAGATAAATGATGAATTAAGTAATATTAATGAAGTTGCATTAGCACAAGAATAAACGATAAGGTTCAGTGCATAGGATGAATTTACCTGTGGAATGAAGTGAAATAGATTATAATTGCGGCTTCTAAAAGCAGTCTTTAAGAGATATGACTTCAGCATTTATTACTGCAATCTAGTAGGAATTACATGAATCAATTCGAGATATCAGGATTCAGGGTGCCAGAAAATATGAGAGGCACGGGCAGAAGTGCCTGCCTTGAACATCTTCAGGCTAACACTTATTCATCATGGTTAGGTTATACTTTTCGGATTGTTTTTTCGCGCATGTCTTTGAAAGTATCTTTCTAGCGGAATTGTTAAAATTTCATTCCCACAAGTGTGTCGAGTTAAAAAAGGCAACAAAAGGTGCCACTTGAGCAAAAACACAAACATGTAGTGTGCAGTCCAGGTGAGGTGGAAAGACCATAAAAAGCACGCATTCAACTGTACAAGTTGATTCAAAAGCAACAAGTCCATAAAAAAATCATTTATGTATCCTTCAAGCCCTCCATTTAGAATGGTTCGCCATTAGGAGGTTAGCAACAACAAAACTAACAAATCGAAGTGCTAGGAAAAACATAATACACAGTTATCCCAGATTACAACGAATATAAAGGTTAATTGAGGAAAGCCATCTTCTTTCAGCCATACAACTGATAGACGCAATAGAAGCTTATACTATAAGAAAAGAAGAATTCAAGATACACATACACCATGAGAATAAGCAACCCAAATAGTAAAAACCACCTATTTCACTATTTGAAAATGAAAATCTGGAAACCTGGGGAAAGCTATCTTCTTTCAGCCTTACAAGTTACAACTAATAGACACAATAGAAAAATATACTATAAGAAAAGAAGAACTCAAGATACACATACACCATGAGAATGAGCAACCCAACTAGTAAAAAAAACACCTATCTTAATCTGAAAATCTGGAAAAATATACTCCATCATTTGCAATGGAGCCAAAGATTCATTATTTTTTGGCTTGAGATTATGATGGAATAAAGCAAAATGGCTCACTAAACTGTCTGCGCTTCTTTGTTATGGAGCAACAGTCAGTCCATGCAATTTTGGACGCGATTTTCACTATGGGTCATCCGGAAACAGTCTCTCTGTGCTTTAGTGCAGGGGTAAGACTGCGTACATCCGACCCCCCCTTACCCCACCGTAGGTGGGAGCCTTTGCGGCACTGGGGTAAATGAAAATGAAAATGATGATAGGGAAGACAATGAAGACATTATCAGGACAACAGGACATCAATGTCAATGCAGCCTTAGAATTTCAATACATGTGCAACCTTATATGCAACAACTTAGATAAATATGGCTTACATTATGTACATGGAAGTACCAAGATGCACCGTAGAGTATATTCTTGACGCATACTTAATGAAATTGGGCAAATATTAAGAGTTAAGACAATTGTTTCCGAAATAAAATGATGAAATTAAACATAAATTCTTGTTTCTCTTAAATTACACCAAATGGTGAAAATAAGTTATAGAAAACAATATTATCTCTCGAGAAATCGCACATTAAAAATCAATAAAAAAGGAATACAAACAACTGAAACAAGCAATGAAATATCACAAATATGGAATCTACTAAGTTGTTAGCCCTTATCGGTCCTATTTAAACTTGGAAGAGTCTTAATATTACCTGCACCGTCTGTCGTCTCACAGACACAGGAAGATGATGAAGAGCAGCGATGTGTGTGGAGTATGTTGACGCTGGTGTTCCCTCTGAGGCAGGCGGTTCGTAGCAAAGAGACGCAGGGAAGTGAAGTTACTTCCGTTTGGTCGCACTAACGGGAGAATAGGAGTACAACGCCTTAAACGGAAGGTACATCTTGATTAAGTGGTATACCAACGATTTTGGTTGTATCCAAAATACTAGGTATAACTTTACCTAGTTTATACTACCCTGTCCCCTACTTTCACTTGGTAAAATTATTAATAAAATGGTTGAAAATGTAAAATGTTATGGTTGCGATTTAAGTATGATAAAGTGAAATGATGTGGATCACATATTTCTTTTTAAAAATGGAAAGGTGACACTTATTCTAGGATGGAGGGAATATTTTGTACTTTACTAGTATAATACTCGTGCATACTGCATACGCACGGGAAGGAGCAATTGGTGCATATATTTTTCACTCACGAACTAATTAAATACTACTTCCGTTCCCCTAAGATTGGGACAACAAAGAGTGGTTCGGTTTTTAAGAAAAGTAAAAGTTATGTGATTGATAATGAATTGATAAAGAGAGAATAAAGTAGGAACGGATTATAGCCGCATAAATATTACCAAATATGGTATGAGACATATTTAATGGAATGGAAGGAAAAGGAAAAATGAGACAATTACAGCGGGACGGATGGAGTATTAAAATAAAAATAACTTTGTATGATTCTACATTTTCGAAAAATAAGAGTGCAATAAGCTAATACAATAAAATATAAACTCATACAAAAAATATTTAATGAAGAGTATATTAGGAAAAATTAATTGACGAACACCACTCATTCTAAATTGCTACTAATAAATTTTCATGATTAAATTAAGTGAGTACAATAAGTGAGTGACATAAAGTTTAAATAAATACAATAAATATTAAAATTAACGAATATTTGTTAAATAAGAACTTGTTGCTCATTAGTTAAATTAGTGCTAATATATGAGAGAGAAAAGTAGCAAGCTCAATTCTTAGTCAGTTTATTTTATACCTAAAAGAACTACATAGAGAGAAGATTGTCTCACTCAATTATTAGACGAGTTATCTTCTTATACCTAAAAACACTACATATGAGACGAGAAATTCTCTCGTTCAATATTTAGCAAGCATATCTTGTTTTATGAAAAACACTACATGTGAAAGAGAAAATTTTCTCGTTCAATTGTTAGCCGATTTATGTTATATCTAAAAGCACAACATATGGGAGAGAAATTTTTCCTGCTGAATTGTTAGCAAGTTTATGAGAGAGAGAATTATTTCGATCAATTGTTAGCAGCGGTCTCAGCTTAGACTTAAAAGAATTACATATGAGAGAGAAAGTTATCCGGCTAAATTGTTAGCAAGCTTATCTTCTTATATATAATATATATTATATATGATATATGATATATAATATATAATATATAATATATAATATATAATATATAATATATAATATATAATATATGATAAAAGATCAAATACAAACCATGCTTAAAATACTAACCTACAAACTCAATAATATGCATCACTTTGAACTTCAATTTCATTTTCATTTACCCCAGTGCCGCAAAGGCTCCCACCTACGGTGGGGTAAGGGGGGATCGGATGTACGCAGTCTTACCCCTGTACTAAAGCACATAGAGACTGTTTCCGGATGACCCATAGTGAAAATCCCGTCCAAAATTGCATGGACTGACAGCTGCATCACTTTGAACTTCAATATGCAGTAAAAATAATGTGATCTCACCGCTATAATATATAATATATAATAATATATATAATAATAATACTTAAATGCACTACATATGAGAGAGAAAATTCTCCAGCTCAATTACACGCTCAATTGTTAGCAAATTTATCTTCTAATACCTAAAAACACCACATATGAGACAGAAAATTCATTCGCTCAATTATTAGCAAAAGTGTCTTCTTATACCTAAAACCCTCACATATGAAAGAAAAATCTTACGTTCAATTGTTAGTCGGCTTACCTTATACCTAAAGGCATTACATATTAATGAGAAAAATTGTTCCGTTCAATTGTTAGTCGGTTTATCTTATACTTAAAAATAACTATATATGAGAGAGAAAGTTCTTCTGTACAATTACTATCACTCATCTTCTAATACCTAAAAGTACTACATGTAAGAGAGAAAACTCTTCTTTTCACTTGTTAGTTGATTTATTTTACAACTAAAAGCACTGCTTATGGGATAGAAAAATCTATCGCGCAATGGTTAGACAGATTATGGCTTATTCTTTCTTATATCTAAAATCTATATCTAAACGCACTATATATGAGAGAGAGAAATTTCTGCGCTCAATTGTTAGCTGGTTCACAAGCCTTGAATGGGCATTTTGTCCTCACTCATGCGTTCCCTGAGAAATTCTCAGGGGTCACCCTTCCCAAGACTACTCCCGTGCAAACACGCTTAACTTGAAGTTCTTAGGTGATGAGCTCTCTTAAAAAGAGATGCATCTTGTTGATATGAGTTGTACTATTAATCCTTTTTAAATTAATCTCGGGTATTACAAATTGTTAGCAAGCTTGTCTTTTTAGATTCTTATACCTAAAAAATGTACAAGTACAAACACACTTTTTTGTTTGTACACAGCCATTGGTTTTCATGTAACCTAAACCTGGCACTTTTACAAATAAAATGCACAAATCAATGTTATTTACACGCAAAAAGCTTTATACCGACATTAGTTATTTGTATACAGTCAAAAAATGTTTGTACACATAAATTTTTGTTTGTGTATACGGATAACTTAACCCTGAAATTTCAGCAAAAAAGGCACGCAAATCAATGACATTTACACGCGAACCAATGTTTGTGTACAAGCATTTGTTGTTTGTATCCAAATAAAAAAAGTCTATACCCATGCATTTTTTGTCCATGTGTGACATTTTTGTTCATGTACACAGACAACTTATCGTTTTTCGGTGACCTTTCAGTGACTATCAAACTTCATTATTTTCTTTTCCCATTTCCAGGTGACGCTAACTCTAGCGATGATGAAGTGGGTAAGATGGAAGATGAGGTGAAAGTGATGCCTGGGCTTCAGGGCTCCAAAACTAAAAAAAGAGGGGCCAAAAATTTAAATACCTTTTTATTATATATATGTATGAAATATTGATTCGAAATAGGGCAACTTGGGGAGCGTCTCCCCTCTCTTGTCTTGTTTTCAATCGGCATTCTCCTTCTAAAGATGAAGATTTATCTACTTCATAAATATTTTCAAGTTATTTTATGTGGTTTCTTCCTAGCAATGTGTAGGGTTTGTGTATTCCTCGTCGGTGGAACCGATCGGCCGTTAAAATTTTATTGTTGGTGGATTATGAGGTTGTCAAGAGGTCGTTAAACTCATCCGATTATTTTTTTATAAAGAAACATATTTATGTGACACATTATTAAATACATATTCTTATCTAACGGTTTCAAAACACTAAAAGACCTCGTTTGACCCTCTCTCTAATAAAAACATAAAAAGTTCACTGTTCAAAAGCTAGCAGTACAGTTGGAGACGTGCTATTAGTGTTATATAAAAACATAAAAAGTTCTCCCAAGGGCGTAGCCAGGACCGATGTTTACCCTGGGCTGACTATACACTAAAAATGTTATATAAAATTTTTAAAAGCGACAATAGTGTGACCATAACGATTAAAATCCATAGTAGTATTTTTAAACATACAATGTTTGAAACTAAGATTATGAGATATTAGGAGTTTCAATTGAGACATTTAACTCTTGTCTACTTTGAGAGCTTGTACTAGGCTTATAAAAGGAACGCAATGTGATTTTTGCTTTTTGGAAGTAGATTGAGTAGCCATACCCCTACTAAAAAATAAAAAAACTAATCAATATTTTATTTGAATTCATATAATTCATATTAATATTTTAAGAAATTCACAAATCAGATTTGACATTCCTAAATCCTAATTTTTTATTTTAGGATTCAAAGTCAAATCAATTGTGACACACTAAGTCATTAAAATAACCCATTGGTACAACTCAGTTAATCCTTACAACAATCTTTTTCCAGCCTTCAAAACTGTAATAAATTCGCTTAAACTGAAAATAGCAGCAGCTAGATTGGTTTGTTATTAAATTAAAATAGATTTTATGTTTATTAAAAGCTATGTATTGTAAAGAAATTATAGAAGTTCAAATCTTGCTCTGCCCTCTAAAGATCGAACAAATGATTTAAAGAGATCCTCCTAAAATAGATATAAATTAAGGAACATAATATGCTATCGCCCCCCAACACTAGTCTGCTACAATTTAACTAAACAACGGCACAGTGAACTCATGGATGATGAAAGAATCTGACTTACCAGCTCTAGCTACCATAAACTAAAAATTGTAAAAACCAAAAACTGAAACCCTTACCTGAGTACCTCGAGAGAACTGGAGTCTGGAGAAGCTCAGAAGCAGGTCAGCAGTCAAAGCCTTTGACTAGTAGATGCGCAGGACAAGCGGCGGAGCGGAGGAGAGGCGGCGTCCGCCGTCCGGAGAATAGGCGATGCGAGACTGCGAGAGGACGGAGTGGTCTGCTGCAATTGGCGTTGGTTCTGCGCTTCTTTTCCCTGCCTTTGGTTCTGCGGCTTCTGCGCTCTTCTCTTTCTGGACTGTGGACATTGGTCCTTAATTGCAGTGGACTGTGGACGGGTTATTTGTACTGGGCCATACACTGGGCCAGTATTTTTTTTTGTACTGGGCTAATTCTAAATATTTTTTTAAAAATCATACTTCGCCCCTGCGTGCTCCCGAAATCCCCCAGGTTTGAAACCAACCAGTGGCTTGAATTTTATGTTTGAAATTTATAAAAAGCTCCATCTTCCTCCTCTACCTCTCAAACATGACGCTTTTAAAGTTTGAAAAGGCCATATGCGGGTGATTTTGGAGGCCGGAATGGTTTTATCAGTCTTTTCCCTGGCCTAACAGGCAGGCGAGGCTTTTTGTTGACGCCACATGTGATGTCACCTTTGGAATGCCCAGTATTCACGGTGTCCAATTTGGGCACCCGCCTTGCCGTGCCTATTTTTCCCGACGCGACGGCCAGGGACTTCAAGAGTGCGTGATTACTCTTAATCCTCCATATTCTTCTTCTCAATGCCTTTAGTCTTTCTTTATTGGCATGTATGCCTACATATATGCTGTTTTACTGCCAAGAAGTATAACCTATGCTCTAAAGTTTAAACCTTTTTTAGAATATTTCAGCATTCGTTGCTGTTTATATTTTGAGGGCTCCTTCCCTTTGTATCCAAAATTCAAGTGTGTAATTCCAGGAACTTTAGTCATATGATGAATGCCATTTGGGAAAAGTGACCTATACTTCTATTCATCGAGATGGCATAACATATGTCTGAAATATTTTTCTTATGGGAGCAGACCAATAATTAAAAGGCATGTACTAGTTTTCAGACATACCATGTCCGAGTTGCTCTTTTGAATTTAGTTGGTTCTAATGTCATTTTACTTTGGGTTCAATCTTAAAAGATAAGAAGTGGTTTAATGCCTTGTATATGTTTGTGTGCTTTAAAATATTAATATTTGGCTCATGTGAAATGACTTAGCATTATAAGATTCTGGTATCAAGGTTGTTAATCTCTTTAGAAACTTTCCCGATGTGCAATGCATGTTTGCTAGACAGCTAGATGAATTAAAAGAACATCCTATTCTTTTTCTAGAATCAATTTGGTTTCTCGACATATGATGCTAAGAAGACAAGTTAACTTATTAAGAAGTACATTGTAGCTCAAATGTTCTGTGAATTGTGATTTATGTTTATGAAGGTTTAGTGAGTGTGTACTGATGTTTTTCTAGGAGTATTTGAGAGAGCACACTTGCATTGCTTCCCAGAACGTGGAAAAATTGTGGCAAACAGTGTAATGGTATGTTTTGAAGTTCTGAACTGCTTTCTTTGTTGTCCTTATAAGATTAGTACTAATATTACCATATTGAAAGTCAATTTCATAATTACCCTTTTCCCCATCCTATTTGCATTAATATTTTTATATGTCAGTTAAAACTTACAATGAGCATTCATCATCATGATCTGCACCTTGATCCTAATTAGCTGGGGCCTGCTCTATGGTTTTACTTAATCGTGTGACGTATAATTCATGCAATGCAATGAGAGATATTGTGACAATGTTTATTCCACTTGATGCCCTTCCTGTTGGAACCTCTTAAGAAGGAATGGTTGCAATGAATTCTCAACTCTAATGTTCATTGTTTTTATAGTCAATTTCATAATTGCAATACTGTTTACCTTGAACACGCTGTTCATCACTATTAAGACTTCAGGTTGCATTCTAAAATGCCAACTTCATATGAGGGGTAGTTAATGCCTTATATGCTTGTTTATTATTCCATATTTAGCCAAGTGGTAGACTCTTCAACACCTTTGAAAATGGTAGTACAATTTAATTTTTTCAGAGGCCCACATCATCGTTACGTATTAGGTGGACTTTAATACTATATTAAGACTTATAATTCCATCCTAAAAGTCAAATTTCATAGGAAAGGCAGTAAATCAATGTCGTTGGCTTGTTATTTAATATTTCTCCGATGTGGGACAAACTCTTCAACAATTACACTTATATGTGAATGATGTAGCATTAATGCTATTATGCTAACAAGGTTATCAAGCTATGTGATTAATTTTTGAAACTTAATGCTGGTTTGAATTTGTGTTTATACATGTGGTTGTAACAGGTCAAGAGAAAGGCAAAATTTTACCACTTGTCTGATACTCTACCCATAAAGCATGTTTTCCAGTACTTGAAGGGTAACTGGTTTCTTCATGTTAGAGTATATCATTCTAGCATTGCTGACCCGATAGGATTACCTGAATGTATAAAGGGTTGTTCAAATGATGGTGAACCTGAGAATTTTCATACAAGCACTACTCCAAAGATTAGGTCAAGTTGCCGGAGGAGTAGGGGGATCGGCATGAAAAGGTTCACCAGCATTAGGAGGCCACCTTTAGGCATTCGAAGAAGGCATTTCTTTTCTAGGAGGTTAAATAGTAAAAGGAAAAGGGTTGGTAAAATTTGTGGTGACAGATTTGATATCGATGTGTCGTCGGGAGCTAAAGACAGGTCAAGTAAAGAGAGGAATTCTTTTATAGCATTGGAGAGCCATTATGAGGCATTATCATCTGAAACCATGTCAGTCTCGGGTATTATGAAGAAATATTTGTCCTATAATGATTATGTATCTGATTACCATGGGGAGGTGAACTCAAGTTCAGCGTTTTCATATTCACCTCTAGAAATGCTAGATGTTCCTCTGACAAATGAATCGGTCCCAGTCGTCTCAAGTAGTAAGGTCAAGAGTGCTGAAGTGGGGAAGCGCCTTTTGACTGCTGGTAAGAATCTTGGGTTTAATGCAAGTAGCCCAAGTATTGGACTTCGTTTTATTACAAACTTATCAGTATATGATATCCCTGCTGAGGATGGCTGAAGGTATATGATATCCCTGCAGACTAGCAGTGCATGGCTTGGCTACCGTTTGGTGCAGATTCGAGTAGGCTATTTCAGTGTAGTCGCACCTATGTAGCACGGAAACTTTTGGGAAAGAGTATGTTTCCGTTTCGGAAACTCTACGAAAATTCTTTGGAAACTCTCTAAACAAGCGTTTTTGAGCAAAAGTTGACGTTTTGCGTTTCCTGTTTCCCCATGATTTTTGTGTTTTCGTGCAACATAGAGTCGCACCGCATTCTTAACTAAATTTGCCTTATCTAACCTAATTTGTAATTTCCCATTTTATGACAATTATATTGTTGTATAATGTAAATATATATTTTTTAAAAATATAAATCTAGTTATCATATAGAGGTGATGTATTAACTTTCTTGTATATACAAAGTGGCCGTTTGTTCACCTTATTTTAGGCTGAGAATTTGTTTACCATATACGATAGTATTAGTTGATTATCTCAGCATGCTGAATTAGTTGAATCTCCGAATACTCATTTAATCCAGTTAACAAAGCCCATGCGTTCCACATGTGAGTCCAACCACACTATATTTGTCAAGTTTATTTAATTATTAAAAGAACTAAATATTAGTCAAACCAATGTTTGGAACTATGAGATTGTATCTCACAAAAACTTTGGTTCTACCCAAACAAAAGTATTTTTGAACATAACATAAAAGTATTTTTGAACGGTTTATTTTAGTACGTAGTAGTATTTGTTATTATAGAAATAAAGATAAGTCAAAATTAAACGAGTCAGCATTTCAACCCATTTTAACAGCTATTGTTTCGATTCAATTTTGAACTGTATGCACATTATAGGCTGTCCACAACCCGCTCCCGTCAATAAATCAAATTTACTAGCATTTAATTTTATACGTATTCATTCAGTCAATCAGTTTTTCTCTGCAACCCAACATTGTCAATATATTTACTCAGCATAGTTTTTTAAAAATAAATGTCTAAATCCTTACATTTATTATCACAAATCAATTATATGACACTTTTTTTACAAATATTTATGATTTAAAAAGTCAAACATTTTGATGTAAAATATTTTTTTACAAAATAATTTTTTTTTGCAATTTTTTTTTAATTTCAACCAGCCAAAATGTTGGCCGTTTGATCTACCGAAGAGTCAAAATGCTGGCCGTTTGATTACTGCTACGTCCTCACCAAGGACCGCACAAGGCTGCTGCAGAAAGCTGCCCAGCGGCTGACAAGCTGGGACTAGCGTCAGGCAGCTGGTCCTTTGTCCGGATGGTCAGCATGCAGGGAGTGGATAGCCCCACTCCAAAGAGTCTCTTGCTCCCACTTTAGCCTTCCCAAATAATGGGTTGTTGAGTTTTTTTGGTGAATAAATTAAATTTAAACTATTCATCTTTTGATTGTGAGCGGCCTTATATACTACGAAGACATATGCACATTATATTTTAAGGAAAATTAAATTTATACACAAAATTGATACACAAATTGTACACCCTTCCCTTGTCTTTATACATGGACAATTTGTTTAAAAACCCAGTAATTGTCTGTGAATTGCCCATATACAAGAACTGTTTTTAAATGTGAAGGTTTTTCAGTTGGATTCCGTTCGTTTTGAAACAAAAACTTATCAAACAATACTTGACTGAAAACAAGAAGACCGTATTTGAAACCTAATAGTAGGTGACGGTTTAGATATTTTACCTGTCCCAAGACGCTCACCCCTACTTTAGAAACGAACTTCTTGGTGAATAATTGGTGCGCAATTCAACGATCCGAGCGCGTCCAAACTGTCGGGACGCAGGAAATTTGTTGTCTGAAATCATTTGAACTTTTTTTGCTGAGAAAGTTTCAAATGGGCGAAGTAGCTGAGATCTGGAACGCCACAGAAGTGGCTGATGGAGCTATCAACGGCCGGACCTCCGGTATTCCGACGTCACATTTTGCCGTCGATCACTCTCTTCCTATCCCCGTGATGAAGCCTCGTCTCGTGTAAGACCTCTCTCTCTCTCTCTGCACGTCTTACATGAGTTTCTACAATGGAATAGATGTAAAATCTGCATCCGGAGATATATGGATTGCACGCTTACATGACAGTGTAACGTTGAAGGACTTGCGAAGATTTCTTCTGCGCGCGATACTGCACATAGAAATAATTTGGAAATACCGGAAATTAATTGAACGCGTTCATTATTATTGTTTGATCGGAAATAGATATAAGCACTAGTGCAGCCATTAGTTTTATTTGAGCACGGTTTTGAATTTTCGCCTCGTAGTCAGTCTGTAATCAAATTAAATTGGCACCACAAAATGTTGTTTGTTCAATCAGCCTGAAAATGTCAATGTAATTGGTGCGGTTGTGTTGTGCTATCAATTAAAGCATCCAAAAGTGATACTATCACGATCTCCATTTGTTATTTTTAAATGTAATTAGAATGTGATACTCCGTATATTGATTTTATAGCTGGACACTATGTGAGTTTCCTTTTAAGAAGCTATAAAGTTTTATTATGAAGAAGTTATAAACATTTTTAAAGTTTCATTTTATGGAATTGTATGTTAATCTTATCATTCAAACTACAAAATCAGTGCATTTGTGATATGCCACATTTAGAAATTGTACTGCGACTCCAATTTGCTCATGTAGGACAGATTATACGGAGTATTTTTTTACTTGTTCAGCAAAAATGCCTCGCACATTTATGGTTCAAGTATCTTACTCAGATAATTTATAGCTCATTCTGCCATAATTTTTAAATGTTACAGAGAGCTCTGCAAGGATCTCTTCAAAAACTGGTCAAAGTTGGATGAATCTCATTTCTCTGTTGAAACTGTATCTGGTGGCATCACAAATCTGTGTATGTATCAGTCTTTTATAGTTTTACGAGCCTAATGTTGATAGTTTAGCCGTTTCCCCTTTTCTTCTAAAAAGACTGATATTCCACTTCAGACCATCCCCTTCCATTCAATTTTTAACATCTACAGTACTGAAAGTATCTGTAAGAGAAGACAACGGGAACATGGTGAATATGACATTAAGGTTATATGGCCCAGACACAGAGTATGTTATTGATCGTGAGCGAGAACTGCTGGTGAGTTTCAGATGCCTTTGTTTACTACATTAGTATGCATTCTACACATTGTTTCTAGTAATATTTCAACTGAGGTAATGAAACTGTCAATATGCATTTTAACCACCAATAAGTATTTTTCTGCCTTAACTGATAAGGTATTGCTGTTCACTGAAGTAATGGTCTTCTTCCAGAAAGAAGTTTCTTGTACTTCATCCACAACTTTAGGATCTATACTCGGAAAAGGCTAGACAGAGAAAATAGGGCTGAAAGTACAGAAGGAATTGGAACTAAAGAAATGTTTGGTAAAATAAATATTGGTTAAAACTCTACAAATTTATTTTTCACGTGTTTCCAGACCAGTTTTTTTTATTCCTCCCTCTATTATCTAAAAACAAAGAAATCTAAAAGTATGTAAAAAAATTCATAAAACATAAATCATACGGAGTATTTTATTTTCGTTTGCATTTTCTGAGGTAAAACCAAATGCAAGAAAGAAACTTTCTTTAGCAATTTTATTCCATAGCAGTTTACATGATCTAAAATACTCTTAGTGTTCTATTCTTCTGTTTACATTTTCACAACAGTTACAGGCTTTTAGCTATTCAACAAATTCAAAAGTACACACACCTTCAAAGTGTTCAGTTTAGTGCTACTTGTATTTTAATAGTAGTTCTTGCCAACCATAACAAATGGACTTGTAATAATGCTATCATTACTCCGATTAAGCTACTTGTATATGCTCTATGTTCCTAGATATTGTTTCTACATTTACTAAAGCAGGATAATGCTTACAAATGGAGAAAATGGTCAAATGGTACCTAAAGTTGTTTTAGGTGGAGTAAGTAGTACTGCATCTTACATTTGAAACTACAAAGTACATGAACTTTCACTTCCAAAGTCGATGAAGTACATTTACTCTGTTAGAACGTTAAAATAGCTGACCTGACCAAACTATCAGTTTATAATATACCATTGCAGTCCAAGTCATCAAATAATTAATCTATAAATTCTAATGTCCTCCAATCCACTCGTTTCTACCTTTGTTCTTCATCTCATATTTCTCACGTTTGCTCTCCCTTCTCTCCGCTCTTCATCTTATATTTTTCTTGTCTGTTCTTCAAGGGCATAGCCAGGGCATTGGGTCGGACTGGACCAGTACAAAGAATATATTTGAAAAAAATTTACACATTTTTACTTTAAAATTAAAACATTTTTTAAATTTGGGGTGGGCCAGGGCCCATGTTGGCCCCCTCTAGCTCCGCCCCTGTTGCACTTCTTCTCTCTCGTCTGCTCTCCCTGCTATCCCGCCAGCATCTCCTTTTATTTGCTATCAGTCCATCTTTATCTTTATTATAACAAGAGAAGAAGAGAATAAAATAGAGCAAAAAGAAGAAGTTGGATATAAGATGAAGAGTGAAGGTGAAAACGAGTGGACTAGAGGAAAAATAGAGTTTATAGATTAATTATTTGATGACTTGGACTGCAACCGTATAATACGAACAAATAGTTTGGCCAAGTCAACTATTTTAATGTTCTGACAGAGCAGATGTCTACAAAAATACAAGTTCATGTACTTTAAAATTTCAAATGTTAGATGAAGTACTACTTACTCCCGTTGAAACAACTTCATGTACCATTTTGACCATTTTCTCCTTACAGATGTATGTTGAGTTGATTCTGTGTCTAATTACCGGCTGCTTATGTTATACGTTGGGTTTAGGCAATTCAATACCTCTCAGCTGCAGGGTTCGGTGCCAAATTGCTCGGAGTGTTTAAAAATGGCATGGTCCAATCATTTCTTCATGCTCGCACCCTAACACCTTCAGGTAAGGCAATTAAAATGTGAAACACATGTCCACAATGTTAATGATTTTTTTTTTTAAAATGAAGATGTGCATTTAAATTCTTGTTTATATTGCTGATTTATTTCATATTAATATATGATCAACCCCCACCCCTCACCTATCATAGGCTTCTCTTTTTCATTTGAGTTAAAAATGTTTGCATTCCCCCATTTGGAATGCAGAATCTAATCTCATTTTTCACTCTCTCATACTATGAAACTAGACTGTAGTAGACCCTAGTTCATGTCTGGGATGGCTGCTTGAAAGTGAAGGCTTGACTAACTAAAGAAAAATAAACTTATGTCACTTGATGAATGAAGGCTAGACTCATTTGAGTATTGCATAGCAGGTAAAAATTTAAAGGCTCTGTGTGTTTACAAGAAATCGAGTTTAGTTCCCGTTCTCAATCCATGTAGAAGACAAGGTTGAAGCTTTCTTCATTGCTCTAGGTCTAGGAACATTCTTTGGTTGAAAATAGTTAGTTATTAAAACCAGTTT